GCTCGAAAGGTCCGGGTTTATTTGGATTCCCAATTGGTGGTTGGCCAATTTCAGGAGGGTTTCGAGATCAAGGAGGATCGATTGCAACGTCTGGTGAACGACATGAGGAAACTGAAAGAAGAGTTTACGTCGCTAGAATTAATGCAAATACCTCGGGAAGAAAATGGTAGAGCGGATTTGTTGTCTAAAATCGCCCAGAATCTGGTAGATTGTAAGAGTAGAAGTGTGACCTTATTACACATGGAGAAAAGCACAACGGAGGCCGAGGTAGCAGAAATTGAGGAGGTAGAAGATTGGAGGTCCTCGATCCAAAGAGAACTGCGAGAAGAAGCACTGAAAGTAATGAGGAGATTTTTCGAACAAAGAGGAATGCTCTACAAACGATCCTACGCAGGCCCGCATTTGAGGTGTGTATCCAAAGAAGAGGGTCGAGGCATTTTGCGAGAAGTGCACGAAGGGTGTTGTGGCGATCATAGTAAAGCTGGAGCCATGGTCGCGAAAATTTTAAGAGCTGGTTACTTTTGGCCGACAATGAAAGTGGATGCGAAGGAAATGGCCAAAAAATACGTGCAATGCCAAAAGCATGGCCCACTAATACATCAACCAACGGAGATGATGACCACAATGAGCGCACCAATCCCGTTCGCACAATGGGGGATCGATTTGGTGGGGCCAATGCCGCAAGCAACAGGGCAGCGTAAGTTCTTGATCGTCGCGGTCGACTATTTCACAAAGTGGGTAGAGGCGGAGCCACTGGCCAGAATCACGGAAGAAAAAGTAATCCAATTCCTGTACAATAACATCTGTTGTCGATTTGGAGTCCCTAAAGTCTTGATATCTGATAATGGGACCCAATTCAATGGCAAGCGAGTGAGGACATGGTGTGAGGAGATGGGAATCGAGCAACATTTCGCCTCGGTTGCCCACCCTCAGGCCAATGGACAGGTGGAGGTGAACAACAGAATTATACTGAATGGCTTGAAGATGAGATTGGAAAAGGCATCGGGGGCCTGGGTCGATGAGTTAACATCCGTACTCTGGGCATATAGGACCACCCCGAGGTCGACCACAGGGGAGACGCCATTCAGCCTGGTCTACGGGATGGAGGCGCTCTTACCAATTGAATTGGAGTTGCAGTCCCAGAGGGTAAGCGCATATGATCGAGAACAGAATGAGGAGCTCATGTGCACTGCCTTAGACACGATTGAGGAGCTCAGAGAACAAGCCTCGACCAGAGTTGAAGCGTACAAGCAACGAATGAGAGCGGCGCATGATAGGAAGGTGAAGATTCGCCGATTCCAGGTGGGCGATCTGGTCTGGAAAAGGGTGGACGTGCTCAAGCACGTAGGAAAACTGGAGCCCAATTGGGAGGGACCATACCTAGTCGAAAAAGTTCACGCAGGAGGAGCATACTCGCTGAAGGACGCTGAGGGCAGATCCTTGGCCAGGTCATGGAATATAGCTAATCTTAAAAAGTATTATGTGTAGAACTTTCTTTTCCTAATCTCGAGCGAGTGATCTGGTGTAATTTTCGCCCAAGAACATATTAAAATCGTCTTGACTTATATGGAAATGCTTTTTCTGTCAATATTTATCCAATATGCTACAATTACAAGTGCATGCGGATTTCTTTTTGCTCATTTAACGACACTCTACATACTTTACATGTCCGCGAGCCGACGCTCACGTTGGAAGCTGGTCGCCCACACAGCCCCTGGAGAAGGAAGACCAAAGTCCTTCGTTTATGAACACCCCGATCGAGGGGTGGGCGAAGGTCGCTTGCTTTCGGTACATTCTAAGGGGTGGGCATGTGGTCGACAACGTCCACGCCTCCAGGCTGGACGACCACAATGTTTTCGGAACATCCCTTAGGGTGGGCAAGTGACAAGACCAAAGTCCGTACGGGGCGCGCATCGACGGGACGATGGTTAATTGCGTTGCGTTTTTATGGTTTATCAAGTTGTTGGGCGACAATGGATTGCGTAGCGGGAAAGGTATCGAGCACAAAGGTACTCAGCGTATTCATAAGGGCCACAATCAGTATATCCGTAAGAATTAAAATACGAAGCAACACAAAGGATGGAAAAATGGTGTCATGTAACATGAGGAGACCAAGGTTGGAAAGTCTTCGTGGCACGACTAACGCACGATTACAAGCGGCACTAAAGCAAAACATACAGGCACGTCATCGAGCACCCAAATTATTCTAAAAGGGCAACGGTAGACGGAGCGGTGCCTGTGGATTGCGCGACGGTGGCAGAAGTGGTAAAGTGCGAGGCAGTGGTCGATTAAGCAGTTGATGGGTTACTAGCGTTGCCGTAAAATTGGTCGAGGTTCGTTGGGCCCATACACGTGCACACAAGGCATGGCCAGTATACGCACCACGTGGTTCACAAACGGCCAAGACATACACACATCCGCAACAAGTCAAGAACAAAATACAACATGAAGCATGCATCATCAGAAATAATCATGGTGGACGAAACATACACGAAGTTAAGGAATGAAATAAACTAGACATGAAAAGTGGCTCCATTCATTGCACGAACAAACAAGGTTACATCGCGAAAATAAAAAATACAAGTGAATTCCATAAAAATTGCATATTTCTAAGGCGCAACAGAAGACTTCATGACGGCAGACGAGCGGGCCGAAGATGTCGACGAGGATGCAGCAGCCAAGCTCGATACTGCAACCGGGGTCGACTGAGCAACCGTCGCAGACACGGTAGCAGCATCGGTGGTCAACTGATCAGTCGTCGCAGATACGGCAGCTGCAGCGGTGGTCGACTGGGCGCATGCCGTTGAAGAGAAGAGAGCAGCAATGGTCGAAGATTGTAGAGACATAGTCGAGGAAAGAACGGCGGCAGAGAAGATCGATTGCGCAGCGGCAGAAGAGGATGGACCAGAAGAGGACGAAGGAACATTGATGGTCGACGGTTGCGGAGGAACGACAACAGAAAGACGAACCACGGGCGCCTCACCAGGCCGGGGTACGTCAAAGGAGCTCTTCAAGGAGGGGTCCCTAGCCAAAGATCACCCCAGGAACTCCGCCCACCAAGGGTGCTCAGCAGGAAGGCTAGAATCACCGGTGAAGTTGGAAGGCGCAGAGGGGATCGCCTCCCAGGTCTTGTCATGGTCGAGCTCGCCCGTGAACCCCAGCTCCTTTAGCTGTCGATCAACCTCTTCCATACTGTAAGTATAGAAATCCATCCCCATTGCGGCGGCTTTCTTGAGGAAGGCGGTCGAGCAGAGGTAATCCTCAATCAGTTGCTCCCGATAAGCCTTGAGGAAGCCTTGGCCGAGTTGAGTTCTCCACAAGGCCCGCCGGGACTTTTCCATGGCGGCAATAGCGGCTGCTTCAACCTCCTTCCTCCGGATCGACCTCTCAGCCTCGAGCAGTTGGTCCTTGGCTTTCAGCGCCTCCTCGTACCGTTGCTCGTCCTTCTTCAGCTGACCAACTAACTCTTGGCGAGTTATGCGCAGATCCTCATTCTCTGCCTTCAGACGTCTATTCTCTTCTTCTAAACGCCGGTTGTCGCCTTCAAGCACGGGGATTGGGCGACCAGAGCCGTTCAGCGTCTCCTCGAGGAGAGGTACAACGGAAGTAAGGGTCTGTGATCGAGCAGATGGTGAGGAAGGATATGTAGGCGAAATATGTAGGGATGCACATGAGGAAGAGAAGTATACCTGTATCACAGCACGAGCAGCGTATTCGGCCTGAGACCGACGATTCACACCCCACCGGTGGGTGTCGTTGAACGGTAAGAACCCCATCAAGCGTGAAACGGCTTCTTGGGGTCCTGCTGAGACCAACGAAAGAGGAGGACTGGGTGGAACGATCGTCCCCCCGGAAGAGTGTGTCTCTACCAGGGACCGCTTGGGCGAGGGAGGTGCACCGCTTGAAAGAGGACCAGTCGCCTCAGAGCGCGGACGTTTCTTGGAAATCTCTTTCTCTTTGGTCGACTGGACAGAGGTGCGCTCGCCCTGGCGGTCGGCTTGCTTGGGCGGAGAGGGTGCTCGCTGTTTGTTGGAATGGGACGGATTGCTAGACTTCTCAGTTCGAGAAGGACCTTCTTTGTTCGAAGGGAGGCCCTTCGACTTTTCAGCAGCCGCTGAGGTATCTTTGTTGCCAGCTCTACTACCACCGGCCTTTCTAAGGTCGGGTTTGACCAAAAATCCCTCTGCACAAATGATAGATCAATCAAAATATTAGTCGATAGCATAAAACACAGTAAGTATAAGGCGTATAATAATGACGGTCCAAACACCTTCTCGAGCTTTTTTATTGATGGCAGCAGCGTTGGGGTCGACACGGATGTTAAGGATAGTTTCGGCCAGAGGGGGAGAGAATGTTTTATGAGTAAGGATGCCACAATAATAAAGAAGGTTGTTATTCTCAAGCAAAGGAGTGGAGGCGACGGGGTTAGAGTTCCATACTTGAATACGACGGTCGAAGAGGGGGTTGGTCGAAGGTCGAGTACGTTTAATGGGCACCTCTGTAAGCCAAGGGATAGGTGCCCACGGATAAGGTTGCGGGGGAAGTACATACACGAATTCATCTTTCCATCTTGGGATGTTAGATGGTCGATCACTGATGAAGCAAGCGTTATTCCGGCTTTTCAAATACAGACCGTCAGCTTGTTTCGACGCAAAATAACAATAAACGAAAAAATCTAAATCTACTCTACCCATACGGATTATCGACAAAATGATAAAACAAGCTAGTGTCCTAAAGGCGTTAGGGGGAAG